GGGGAGGTGAGGAATGTAGAGGGTCTTCGCTGCATGGTTGGTCTTGAGGTACAGTATGCTCTTAATATGTGATGGCTCTTCATCAGTTTCTTCTTGATTTTATCTTCAATTGAGGTAGTACTCGAAACTTATATAGGATGGACTTGCAGAATGAGGCTCGTGAGATGCGTCACCTATCCCGGGCCCCACTGTTGCCTGTAAGCAAGGCTGAAGGTGGGCTGATCCTGGCTTAGCAGTAGGATATGCACAGCCTCGTGCTCCATAGGGAAAGATCATGACTCAAATGAACTAGTGTACTCTATCGCTTCTTTCGTGATAGATTAACCACATTGTACCTCCAGCCACTTGATGTAGCCTTCAACTAGCGACCAAGAACAGAACCACACTTCGGTACTTTCTTATTTACCCCAAGGCTGGCATAAAGCTGATGTGTAATAAATGAAGCCACGAAGCTCAATGGCCAGAGCTCCGCTTGCTTTTTTTAGTATCATTTTCTTAGATCCAAGTCAATGTTTCACTGATATCCATAACCTAGACAAGGTAGCAAATTCACACTTCCTTGTCGCTATTAGAAGAGTAACTTGGAAAATTCCGCTCATAATGTGAAATTCACAACGCTGAAGATGCAGGGATGAGATGCTACTTCTGTCTAAGTACCTATAGGAAGATTACACAACTTACCCTGCGTTGAATAAACCATACAGCATAATCGATCTACCTTACCAGTTCTAGAATCAGGATGAATTCAATAGCTAGTAGCTAAAGGCGACCGCTTACGATCGCCCAAATATCGCCGAAGAAGTGGTAAGCAAACGGAATTAACTACCGGAGTTATGTCTAAGACCGAGTAGTCCTAGGTAGGTGGCCATGGTATTTCAGCTTATAAAAGCCTACGGCGATGTTCTTTCCACGGGGTACTGAGGAAGATAAAATCGAAACAGAGACATAATCACTCCATATAACTGCTCACCAACCACACCATCGAGAGAGTCAACATGCCCCAGATTGCCGGAAAGGAAGTCGGCCCCATTGGCTTCGGCCTTATGGGATTAACCTGGAGAGCGACACCACCGTCCCAAGAGCAGGCGTTTGATGCTATGCATACTGCAATTCAGAATGGATGTATGTAACATTCCTCTGTCTATCTTTTGCTAGTAAACCGCGATCTAAATCAACACTGATCAATGATGATGTAGGTACCTGCTGGAACGGCGGCGAAAACTACGGCGCACCTGACTACAACAGTCTCGTCCTAGTAGAGCAATATCTGGAGAAATACCCCGAAGACGCCGACAAGATAGTCCTGAACATCAAGGGCGGCGTCAACCCCGACACTCACCAGATAGATGCTTCGGCGGAGAATACGCGCCGCAGTCTAGATAACTGCATAGCGCAGCTGAAAGGTCGCAAGAAGATTGATATGTTTGAATTTGCCCGTCGAGACCCGACTGTGCCTATGCAAGAGACGTTTGATTTGATCGAGAAAGAGTATGTTCAGACGGGCAAGATAGAGGGGATTGCCTTGTCGGAGGTGCGGGCTGAGACTATCCATGAAGCTGTCAAGTATACCAAGGTACTTGCGGTGGAGGCTGAGCTTTCTTTGTATGTATGGGATTTGTTGCAGAAGCAATGGAGGGTTAATGCTGACTGGAATAGGTTCACTACTGATATCCTGGAAAACGGCGTCGCAGCGGCGTGTGCCCAATACGGGATCCCGATTATTGCCTACTCGCCGATCGGCAGAGGCATGTTGACTGGTCAGTTCAAGAAGTTCGATGATCTTCCGCAAGATTCGCTGTTGCGCTCTTTCGACTTTCCGCGATTTCAGCGGGAGAACTTCGAGAAGAACATGCGGCTGGTTGAGAAAGTGGAAGATATCGCTCAGAGGAAGGGTTGTACCCCAGCGCAGCTGGCTATCAACTGGACAAGAGCACTCTCTAGGCGCCCAGGGGTACCAACCATTATTCCTATCCCAGGTGCCACAACTGCGGGGCGGGTGGAGGAGAACAGTAAGCTGATCGAGATCACGGATGAAGAGATGCAGGAGATTGATGATATATTGGCCAAATTTACCCCAGCTGGTGAACGATACCCCGGGGCCATTCCAGTTAACACCTAGGATGTATAGTATCAGAATCCTGCAGTATAAACGACACTCTCGTAGCTTTAGATACTCTCATTTCAAATCATGTTTCAAGGTACCAAATCAGTCACTTGACGCAACATGATAGCCATCCTTCCAGTAGAGCAAAGGACAAATCTGAGCTATCTTGTGTCCAAAAGCTATATGACGAGCCACGAGTGCTGTGTCTACCAACTGAGCACTTGTTATCTTCTGGGAATCAGCAACCCGGATTGAACAACCATGTGACAGCACCAAATCCGGCTTTTCCCAGCAATCTTGGGCAGACTAGCATATCCCAGCTACCGTACCTGACGATCGGAGAGACGCCGACCGGTCTGGACTGACCGGGGTAAGTAAAAGTAACTATGCACATGGAAGATTCTAGCATGTAACATGCATCTCATCACCTGAACAGCAGCCGTAAATCAGGGTGGGGTAGGTGATACTTGCGACTAATGCTAAACGCTCTTGTATGTTGCATCTGTCTCAAGTCTTGACGTTAACTGCAGTCGGGACTAAGAAGACAAGTCACAGTTGCAAGGGCAGGTATTGTGCAATCGAGGCCACGTCAGCGATAATGTCGGGGTTCAATCGGAATGAGAGGGGACGGAAGGGGACGGAGGACGGTAGTAAGTTGGTGGCTTGGTGGAGAAACCTTGGAAAATAAACTATTGCCGGTCCTGGGATAAGGGAGCTGGGGGTAAGGTTTCCTGTCAATCAACAGTAGAGAGTGCCGTGGGGAAACAAAAGAAGGGGTAGTCGTGGGGAGTTGGGGAAATTCTTGCTGGTCACACGCCTCACGCCCCCGCGGGGGCACCTATCTATACATAGTAGACGCCTATAGATAGCAACAATTTAGGCGAGAACTTTACTATAGTGTCTACTACCGCTACGGTCACCATTACGTTTAGTTTTATAGTATTGGCCTTTTTTCTGGGTTCTGGATAGATATTATAACTGTGAACTATGGATGATGCTCCTTCCATCTCTTTCTATCTCTCCAACACCACAAATCAATGAGATTCGAACTTACACTCCCTATCTTGGGTAGGGTATGGTTCTCCACGTAGGTCCAGCTTGTCCATAGGCCCAACGAGAATTATATTGATCCGCTTTTTTCGTGGGCTATACGCATTATCTACTGTACACTTGTAGTTGTGGATTTCTCAGGTCGCTTTTTAGAAGCGCTCTCTATAGTATGACTCTTTGGACTCCAGTGTAATAACATTAACCGTTGCTCTTCCGCAGCCAGGCATAACCTGGTGCCGATATTTTAATCACTGTGTGAAACTATAATATAGGTTGAGTTCTCAAATACACAGTATAATATCAGTGATTGTGCGAGTAGTAAACCGAATGTACACATGGAAGTAGGATGCTTGGGTTCCGCGGGGCCTCGACACCTGGCGCGCCAGGGGCGCATCGCGCACTGACCAGCAGTTACTGTCTGGCCTATCCGTGGGAGAGTCTGGAACCTTGGGATCCCTAAGCAACCTGCCACCCTCGAGTCGATCATTGCTGCTGCCGATTGCCCGTCACTCCCGCATCTTGGTCCTTTCAAACTGTTGACCGACTAGGTCTATCGAGCAAAATACAGGCTTGCACCAACTTTCTATATCCATATCCTGCACGCAATACACATCTTCACATAAGCACAGTTGTAGACGCCAAAAGGATCTCTGCGGATTTTACTCCCGGATCCTCCGGATTCGACAGGGAAGCAGGCCGCATATCCGATGGGCGCATCTGGACCCAGTGCTTATTCAAGCCTATTCTCATGCCATTCCAGAGACAGGAGAATTGCAAAGCGCCAGCAATAGCATAGCTAATAAGATCAGATGTCAGGCAGGCTAGCATATTCTACTCGCGTGCACCGGAACGAACGTTATTGGGCACTAGTTCAAGCTTAAGCTCCAAAACATCAATCAATAGACGAAAAATAGAATGCTCACGGGACCTGATACAGCCGCCGATGAAGATGCGGGTGCCAGGGCCGAAAGGCCCCTAATTTCAGGCAGGAAAAAGCCACCCGGGAGTCCCAGAAAGGTAAGATGGTGACACCTCACCTCGTTACGGTCCATCTCCCCGGTATAGGGATGAGACCCTTCCATTCAGCGAAGAAAAATATGATGGTCACATGGCAATCCCAAGGATCCGCTTCGGGTAGCCGATCTGATTCCTTGCTCTACTCTGGTTTAGGCTTGTCGACCACATCATGGGAAGCAGGGACCTTGTATCTATCTACACTTGGGAATGGTGGTTAATGATTCTTCTATATTCAGAATCTCCTGAAAGTAAGGTATGGTTGTGGCTTCGATGAATTTGGGTATGTGGCCCCTGATATAGATCTATGCGCTAGCTCGTATACACAAAATGTTTGTTTGCTTACCTTCTTTACCGAATATCGATATTTATGTGTTCACCTTACTGAGAGTGCTTGGTAAGACTTGCCTCGATCCGTATCGCCAGGGTTCTAGGGATACTCATAAGCATGGGGATGGGGATGGGATGGGGATGTTGGCGACCGCGGAGTTGCGATGAGAATTCCAAAAGCATCCTCTCCACGACTGGAAAGTACAGGAATTAGCCAATAGGATTGTCTGGACCTGTGATAAGCTTGCTGTCTCAACGTAGTGCTACAAACAGAGGAAAGGGGATCACCCACTCCATGCAGAGCCACTACTGTTCCAAACGAAATGAAATAAATAGTAAACCCCTAGGAAGAATATCTATGCTACACTACCGTCTCAACCGAAAAGGTGGTCCAAGCCAACACCCTATCTTGAAGGTACATAATGCATACATAGCATCCCTACATGCTGTACCCTGCTGCGTGCCTGATAATGTGCAGGACGAGGACTGGAGACGATTGGCATTAGATCCGGGACGATCTCCGAACGACCCGTGACCACCCCGTCGAATGTTCGACCAAATTAAATGTAGCTTCCAGAACCGCCCAGGCAGGCCCCGTGATCAGCAGGAGTACCGGAGACAGATCAACTGTCATCCTGACGGTCATTCTTTTTCATCCCCAGTTTTGGGTGGGTGGTCGAGGGGAGCTTCTTTCCGCCCGCCGCGCCCCCATTCGCCCCATCCCCGGATTGCCTAAAAGAGAAAGCCGAGCACTCCACGAATAGTGGCCCTTCCAGTGGAAAGCCATGGCCGGCAGTTGTCCGTTGTTCGTGTCGGTCAGGCCGTAAATTTGCCTTGGATGATGCTGGAAGAGAGATGCTTCTGGGGAACTTCTCACGATGGCCCTCAACACTATCGTTACTTCATGATGATTTAACTTCGTCATCCGCGGGCGTGCATCCCCATTCGCCATGTCACTTTGCCCGCTTCTCTTTATCGAAATCCCTTCATTACCCAGTTACTGTTAGGGAGAAACTGGAAATTCCCCTGGTTTAGTCGTCATACTGATTGAAGAGAGCAGTAATTGATACTGTAGTGACTCTAGAGATGTGCATTGATCAAGATTGTCTGCTATCAACATCTGGTCGGGATAGTTGCCGTACGGTATGATATACAGAAGTCATTCGGTGCCGGAACGATGCCTGCAGGTCTTGCCACGATGGAAAGGACCGAATGACCTCTTGGTGGAACCTGAATTGTATTCCCTTCTATCCCCATCCGTCCACACATTCCCTGGGTCTGGACCGCATCCACCTCTCCCTCGCAGCTAATCTTTCTTGGGTGCTGGTTCCAATCTCTAGTTGCTCACATGAGCCCTCATGACCATCTTGGGCTAACATCACTCCCCCTGAGGAAGCTACCCATGGGCTCATCGCGAATATATAAGAGGCTTTCTCGATGCTCATTGAGAACTCTGCCATCAGCAATTGAGTCTTCTTCGTGCTCACCTCTGCTTTCACAGTGACTCGCGTGCTACCATTGATTAAGACTTGCCCAACTCACTATCTATCTTCCACCTGAAACCTTCTCAACTTTAATAATCTTTCCAACTCTACCTTACTCTATACTTACTCCACAATGTCTGTTTCCTTCGACACCACTGACGTTGCCCCCGCCCCGGTCCCTGTTGTACAGGATGGCCCATGTCTCGGCTCCAAGTCCAGAATGCCCGAGTTCAGCCTGGCTGGAAAGGTTGTCTTGGTCTCCGGAGCTGCGCGTGGTCTTGGTTTGACCCAAGCTGAGGCCCTCCTGGAAGCGGGTGCCAAAGTCTACGCTCTTGACCGTCTGGATGAGCCCGTAAGTGACCTAGAAGGAGTTTACTATCTACTCTCCTAACGCGCAATTCTTCTAGTCTCCCGAATTCGCCGTTATTCAGCAGCGCGCTCTGCAAGAGCTGGGTACTGAGCTTCACTACCGTCGCATCGATGTCCGCGACACAGAGCTACTGAACACCGTGATTGAAACTATTGCCAACAACGAAGGCCGAATGGACGGTCTGGTGGCGGCGGCCGGAATCCAGCAAGAGACCCCCGCGCTGGAGTACACAGCCAAGGATTCCAACACCATGTTTGAGGTGAACGTTACGGGAGTGTTCATGACCGCTCAGGCAGTCGCCAAGCAAATGATTCGCTTCGGAAATGGAGGCAGCATCGCCCTAATTGCGAGCATGAGTGGCACCATTGCCAATCGGGTATGTTCCCATCTTGTCACCCGTTACCAGCCCTACTGTCTTCCCCGCTTTGACTCTACCTTCTCTTGCGGTTCTGTGCAACAACTGACTCATACTCTCTCAGGGCCTCATCTGCCCCGCTTATAATGCCAGTAAGGCTGCCGTGCTCCAACTTGGCCGTAACCTCGCCTCTGAATGGGGTCAATACAATATCCGCGTCAACACCATCTCCCCTGGATACATTGTCACCGCCATGGTCGAGAAGTTGTTCGAACAGTTCCCCGAGCGCCGCGACGAGTGGCCCAAGCAGAACATGCTCGGCCGACTTTCCGCTCCTAACGAGTACCGCGGTGCAGCAGTCTTCCTCCTTAGCGACGCCAGCAGCTTCATGACTGGTAGCGACCTTCGTATGGACGGTGGTCACGCCGCATGGTGATGACATGAACAGACATACTCATCCTCTTTTCCTTCCGATATCTTACACTGCACTCTGATTATCTGCACTGATTCACGCATGGCGTTCATTGGAAGCGAGCACTGCACTATAAATGGTTTATCATGACGTCTACCTCTCCATCAGGAGGCGAATTTGTGGTTTCTTTTTTCCCTTTTAGCGTTTGGTGTCTGGACGGGATGATCGGGTTGATGAACAGTACCTAGAGCTGCTACCTACCACCTGTACCTATACCTATATTATACATACCTATCATCCCTACCTACTACCTACCTACCTAGTTAATCAAATTTACTTTTATTCCCGATATATCCATCCCATAATCCCTCCAGTGAATCTGAAATAATTATAACCCCCCACCACCCTCATCAAACCAAGCACCCAATAACAATCTCCTAACCCAAAACAAAGTTACAAAATAGCACCACTTAGCGCGCAGATCCCACCACCCCGGAAAATCGCACATGACCCCACAAAAAAAAGTCCTAGCCCAGTCCAGCCTACCATAAGGCAGGAAGTTGAGCAATGTAGTAAGCGTAGTCGTAAGCCTACTAAATCATGGATGGATCACTTCGTGGTATTTTGCCAAGACCTATCTACTGCCATATTCCCCACCCATCGATCCGGGGTAACTAATTACTTACTACCCCACCCCAGATCCCCCGCATAACTGCATACGTTTTAGATTCGGTTCTGAACCAGGGTTGGAGAGGTTGATGTGACGTGTGGTTGATGTATAGACTTAGTATAACTACTGGGTTTCTATAGTTAATGGTTTTATTTTTGGTTTTGATAGTTACTGGGTGCAGTAAGGTTGAAGTAGGTTTGCTCGCTACCTTGTTTCATTCTCCGGTGGTTCATACTATTCCTTATTCCTACTAGGTAGACTATTTGGACAGGTTATATGTATCGAGATAGTGGTGGTGGTGCCACTCTCACGCAACACGAAGCACCACTATGAACGATGGGTCTATCTATTGGTGCAGTCTCACAAAAGCAAAGTGAAATAGATGAACCCAGACTTCGCCGAGAAAGTGAAATGGATTGCCTATTTGGGGATTATACATGGTAGGTATTAGCTGAGAGGACAGTCATCATCCTTCTCAACTAACTATCTATGGATGTAAGAAAGAAGAGACAGAGCCTAAGACGGATATATGTGCCGAGCGAAACCCAAACAAGCCATTCAATCATTATATTAAGACAAAACATAAAAGCAAAACCCGGAAAGAAGTCTCGTGATCCATCTGACTTAGTAACTATTCGGAGTTGAGGTAAAACATATTGATGCCTAACATATCGCCTAAGCGGCCTAGTCTTTCGATCCAGATGCAAGGGGATCGATTCGTGAACATAATCTAGACCCTTATTCGATACTGCAGTATTAGTGTTTCTGGGGTCTTGGTTCACGTTGTGATTAGGCCTTGCAGGTGGTCTATTTTTATTCGTTGTTGGGAAGATCACCTGTCTTGTCTTGTGTCTTAGGTGAGGCTACTACTATACTAGTATAGTAGTATATAGTTGGATGGTGTTCAACTTCGGTTGGGATCGGATCTTCTCAATCAGCATGTCATGTATCTATATCCCCAATACACGGATAAATCTGGGCGCTCCCCTTTATCACCATCTATCTCATTGGTATATACTCCTTCCCCGGATGATGTGGTCTCGGTTCGTGCTAGTCACTTGATATTTCCCCGGATCGTCAGCATGACCCTATACTAGTTAACTACTAGTAGTAGCCAAGTAAGTATTCACTTCTCTCCATCCACATAGATAGAAAGTCCAGTAATTGGCTCGCTTGCCTCCGGTTTACCTGCCTACATAGATTATACTTCAACAGCCTGACCTACACATTCCATAGTATCATAGATTTCAACCAAAGAGCCACTGACAACGCATCACCACCACAGAGTGCATGACATTGTCCATCTTCTGCGTGCAGTATACGTCCCCGTATCTCTCCGACACTGGTATCCAGTTAAATCATGTTCCTATATGGAAGGCCCACACTTTGCAATCGGCGATAGCATCGACGATGGGCTTTCTTGTGACCATTTCCATTTGTTTGATGTGGCGGGTCTTGATTGAGGATTGCTGAAAAGGGAAATGAGAGGGAAAGAAGATCGGGATCTCCTGTTTCGGAATGGTTTATGATGGTTTATTGTCGTGGAGGGTTGTTTGATGGAAGTCGAATCGTCATCTGGGGATGTAGGTTTCATGGTTGGGATGGGTGTGGTACGGAGGACAATGGGCCTTGTGCTTGTATTGTAATATAAGGAGGTAGTGAGAGACGGCTGTTATAGCGTAAGTTGGAGAAGTTGATAACAACAATCCTCGATGGTCTAACGGTCATGATTTCCGCTTGTCAATCCTTAACAGGAACAAGCGCGGGAGACCTGGGTTCGACTCCCAGTCGGGGAGATGTTTTTGTTTTTGCTGTCTTTTCGGGTGTTGGGTTATATTTGATGATCTTGCTAGTTGTGTAAGAATTTTCTGTTTTTTTATTACGTGTGCTTGTTGTTTTGTTCGGAAGGATAAATGCCAGTTGAAGTTGTGACAATGTTAAGATTTATATCGAGCTTTTCCCCAGTGGCATTATTATATATATAACCGCCGAAGTCTACGACATCAGATAAGTATACGATCTACAAATGTCATCTAAAACAAACACTTAAGAACCCGTGGCTTTATAGCAAACACCGATAGAAAGCCAGATGTAGTCATGAAGTGTTCGATTCTCATCAAAGATATCACGAGGTTTGCTTGAAACAATCCGCGACAATGATGGATACCCGAGCAAAGGAAGTATAACACAACCGTCTCAGCGAAAACCTGATTTGGAATCAAATAGATGTCCATAAACTGTTTCCGTGATAGATATTATAACCTCAACTCTCTACCGTGGACATTTTCAGCGATTGGTGTCGATGCTATTCCAGACAATCTTCCACGTTTGTATATCTGCTATACTTGACCCCGATGCTCATTCTGAGTAAAGGTATGGCAGAAGTCCAAAGACAAATAGCATTCTATGAGACCAGGTGTGGACATAATCACAAAGGATGTGACGAACTCAAGAAGACTCCGGCTCCACTTTTGGTGTCAATCCAATTGATCAGGTCTATCATGGACCGACTGTGCCTCGGAAGAGAACAAGTCCCAGTTCACCTGTAGATTCCACACACCCACAGAATCGCATGAGCTCTGCTATAATGTAGCAACATAACAACAACATGCAGTCCATATATTTAATCCTACGCACCACGCTCATCCACCCCAAACAAGCCATCTACAACAACTCCTCACCAATCCAAACCATCCCATAATAATACAATGCCATTCAATAACCATGCATACATACACCATTCGTTCCTCCTTATCGTACACTCATTCCCTCCCGAAATTCCAACCCATCAACCAATATCCCCAACCACGCCCCTCTCTCCCAATCTCCCCACAACACCACTCTTCAACCTCAACAGCCTCTCAATCTCCTCCGCCGACAATCCCTGCCTATCCCTCATCGACAAGACCTGCCGAATGGTAAACGCATCAACAAACTCCCTGCCCTGGAACCCCGATTTTCCCATCGCCTCGAACTCCTGCTCCGCGGCCTTAGTGAGGCGCTGCCGCGCCGAGAAAACCAGTAACGCCGGGTTAGATGCGGGCGGGAAGACGGTAGGCGCGGGTTGTTGGCGCGCAAAGGTGCTAGTGTGGGAGAAGGTCGGGTTAGGAGTCACGGGGCCGATGGTGCGAAGCTGTGCGGCGAAGTCAGGGTCGCGGCCGTCGAGGTCGATTGCTTTGTAGAGATATTGTTAGATTGGATTTTGGGGGATGGGTTGGATGTACGTACCTGATGAGCGCTCGAGGGAGGGAGGTTCTTTGGAGTGGTAGGTTGGTCCTGTGGGAGGTGCTCGCGACGGTTGTCGCGGTGGTTGTGGTTGTGGCTGTGGTTGTTGTCGTTGCTGTCTTGTGGGTTTAGATGCTGGTGGTGGTTGTGCTGGGGAGGAGGTCGGAGGAGAAACGGGTTGTTTTGGGTATTGGCGCCGCGAGACAGCCTGGGCGGCGGATCTCGCGGGCTTGGAGGATGAGGCGCCCATGGGTTGGCGGTTCTGGAGGGTTTGAGATTGCGGATCTGGGGGTGGAGCTGGGGTTTAGCACTGATGTTCTGGAAGCATAATAATTGCGGTGGTGGTGATGATCGGTTTTACTGGGATTCAATTGCCTTCTGCAGAGGATCGGGCGGACTAGCCTGTTTGGGATGATAAACTAGCCGCGCGGGTGACGTCAGCCATTACGAATTATTTACTTGTTCTTTTGATATTGTTGCTGCTGTTGTTATTGTGTTTGGGAGGTGGGATACCCCTGACTGTCCAGGTGGTCCTTTTTTTTATAGGGATGTGTTATGATAAGTATCGTATAGTAGATGGTAATCCTATTCATGTCTGTTTTGCTACACTCATACAGTAAGGCTTGTCTGCACAAGCCTGGTTCCCTACAGGAACACTACTTCAATAATACTCTCTCAGGCAGCAGTAGTCCAGTACTGCGTTTACCTGAGTCCGGCAAGCCGTCTGCCCTGGACTTCACCCAGAGCGCGGCTACCGCTGACGAATGCGACGGATCCGGCCACTGCGACGGCAGGGAGGATCTGGAAGAGAGTCCAAGAACTATAGTACAGGAAGAAGATGCCCTCGATGGAGAGGAGGGAGCCAAGGAACACAATGTGAGGGATAGGAGCCGACTTCAAGGCGGTAGGCAGGTGGTTGACGTTGACGCCGAGGAAGAGCCACTGGAGCAGTGTCAGAGACGTATTGAAAAGAAAGTATAGAGTAGAACTTACCACACCACCCAAAACAGGCAGAGTAGCGAGCACCATGGCGACAAAGGCCAGCGTGATCACGATGGGAGGGCTCTGAGGGTCGCTCTTGAAGATGTGGTGGATCTCAGGAAGCTTTCCATACCGCGAAACCTCGACGGTCGGGACGGGCTCATCGGCGTTACGGGTCACATCCAGCTGGAAGGCAGCAGCATTGTATGCGGTCGACTCGCCGAAGGATCCGATCAGGAATCGGGCCTCAAGAGGCTCGGAGGCGGAAAGGAATTGAACGGGAAGGTCTTTCTGGGTCTGAAGTATACATCAGCTGTGCCCTAGCTGGTTCTGTGTGAAGTGCAAGCCACCTACCAGGTCAAGCCTGGACTTGCCATTGTCCTTGACGTTGAAAGGGTATGAAATGTCCAATCCGGTCTCAGGATCCTGGAGGAGGAGGTACACTTGGTGTGCGTGCTTTCCGGTGCGTCCTTCTTGAGCTGTCAAGGTAACTTTCAAGGTATCGGCGACTCCAAGGGCGATGGGCTTGGTAAGAGCTTTGTTATCGGGGATACTGTCAATTGAGAGATACCATCAGTTCAAAAGTTCCAGAAGAGCAAGATAACAACGTAGAAAATAAGAAACGTACACCTCCTTTACGCCCGCACCGACACCAGCGCCTTTGGTGTTTACTGACACGGTGGCATCAGTAAATCCCCATGCGGAGGCAGCCGCGGTCGGGATAGCAGCAGAAGCCAGCAAGGAGAGCTGGAGAACCGAGTGCCACAGCTGCATGATGAGCGAGAGACCAAAACCACAGCGACCAGGCAGTAGAATGAACGGAAAAGAAGAAAGCGACAAGGCCAAACACCGGGGATATAGCGAGAGGAATGGGAAGCTGGAGCGACGACACGAACAGGCCGAAGCGGAAGATGCGCTAAGATAAGCGCCCGCGGCTTTGGGGCAAGCGGCGGTCCAGTGACCGCCCGCCGCCCGTGCAAGCCCTAATTTCCCGGCATCTCGATGGAGTTCGGGCTGCCAAACATTTCTTCTTCGCTCCCTCGTCCGGACTATCGGGTTTGTCTGCCACTGTTGCGATCCCGGAGATCCTCGAACGGCTCAATAGTCGCTCCTTTGCATTTGCGCCATGTCTTTTATGCCTCTCCTCTAGCCCCGGGAGCCCCCCTGCGCCTGCAGTTTGCCTTGACGTTCCGACTCCTCGCCTCCGCTTCACCGACGGGCCACCCTGGTCTCCGATCACGACAAGTTGGATCTGGGCGGTTGTGGTTACAATTACAACGAGTATAGCTGGATATTGGTACGTGGAGAAGATAGTTGGACTGCTTCGTGTCCCGTTGGTGGTTCATGCCAGGTGTTCTGGGTTTCCAGGAGGTGCCGCTCCTGCTTGCCTCCGTTTTCCGAATCGTCCATCGGCCCTCATTCCATTCACTGACTCTCACCTCGTCTCGCAGGCCCGACAAGCCCCAAATCCCCGTCGCATAACCCTTCCGATCGAATATTTTCATTTCGACAGGGATAGACACTGTAGTCCGCCTGCCATTCTGTCCGTTACCTCCGAAGTATCCGTGGTTGTATAATACAGGACTCGGCCGGGACAAGCCGTATTTCGGGGTTGCTGAAGGGATTGAAGTGATTGAGAAACAGTGAACAAGTAAGCCGAACAAAGACCTGAATCCCGTTTTGGGACTTGGGGATTCACCTGGATGAGGCTATTCACTGCGATGGAAGCTAATAACACTGAAGTGGTTGGTAGGGCTTCTGTTGCGAGGGAACTTGGGTCCCCCGCTGCTCTCTCCCTCGACTTGACTCCCGTAAGTCTTCTGCATCTTTCTGCCTCGCGTCTCTTTCTTCGATTTCTAACCGGATCTCTAGAGAGAAACACGTCGAAGTTCGTCTCGTGCGTCACGTAAAACAACTCGTGAACCAGAAGCTCTCCCTTCGAACTTATCTCATTCTTCTATTTCATTACCCCCAACACCTGTCACAACGTCATTTGAAGAACAGCTCCCTTCTTCCAAACGTCGCAAGACGCATCGTTCTGCCACTGTAGACGAGAAAATAGGTTTGAATCAAGAATCTGCCCAAACCCCGAATCAACAAGGTTCTGGTGGTCCCTCGCAGATATCCAACAGCGTCTCTAAGAAAAGAGGACGCGGCAGGAAATCGGCCTTAGCCAACGGTGAGACCGTGCAACCTGCAACTCCTGCTTCCAATCCCAAGCAACAGTCACAGTCGACGTTGCATAACTTTCTGTCAAGAACACTCAAAGACCGACGCAAGTCTCTTGCTACTCAAAACCCGTCACCAAACCCCACCATGTCTACTTCTCACGTCTCCTCTCCCGCCATAAACTCTTCCGCTTCCAACAGCCGCAAGACGCGTAAGTCTATGCCAGCAAAGCTGAACGGCTTTGAGAACAGCGAGAAGACTTCTTCCGTGGACTCTACCTCTTCTCTCACTTCTACCCCCAACGCTCAGAGCGGCAAAGCCGATAAAGCTCCCGCTAATTCTGCTGCGTTTGCCACCACTGCTGAAGCTGCTGAAGCCCAGGAGGCTAGCACCAAGCTTGCAACACCTGCTACGCAGCCTCGCTCTACTCCTCGTCCCACGACTGCCAGATCTCGTCGCGCCGAACGCAAATCCAGAATGGCTGCGACTCAGAATTCCAAATCAGTGCAGTCTACTCCCGTCTCTGCAGTGAATCGAAGCAGTCACAAGGCTGCCAATTCACAGGTTGCTACTCGAACCAGTTCGCGACCTCAGCGCTCTACTCGAAAGTCTGCACTCAACGCCGCAAGCCAGGCCGTGGATGACGCTTCTCTTGAAACACCTTCTTTCCCAAAGACGCCCTTTGGCCGCGAGGTTGCTGACAGCATTGAAAGTACCCCTGCTCTTGACAGCAAGGCTGAATTCGACACCATGTCTGGATACGACTTGGATACCCCCGGAATCGAACGCAGTACTCCGTACGGCGAAAGTTTTCCTTTTGAATACCATGCTGATATGTATGGAAACAAATTTGGTCTTGATGGCTCCAATGAGGGCCCAGGATCCCCAACTGCCAGCTACTCAACCACTACTTCAGCTGCGCGCACTTCTGGAAGAACCAGAAAGCCTACCATTAAAGCTATGGAATCTTTGGAATCCGAGCGGCGCTTCCGCAGAAACCGTGCACCATCATCTAAGCCAGAGTCTGCTCTCAAGGAAGTAAAGGGCAAGGCAGCAGTCAAGAAGACGCGTGCCAACAAACAGGCCAATGCGAAAACAGCTGGTATTGCACAGGCGTCGAAGGCAGGTGTCGATGGAAAATGGGCAGTTTTAGCAAACCGCCTGCTTGACCTGGCCGCGGCAGCTGTTGCTCCAGAATTTGAGCAGTCATCGGAAGCTGAGGGCTGGATCGAAGAGTTACGCAAGGAGTACCTGGAGAAGCAGGAGAAGAAGACCGAAACTCCAGCGGTGCAGTCCGAGGCGGAGCCCGTGACCGAGGCCGCAACCGAAGCGCAGCCCCAGGCAGAGATCGGCGTTGAGGGAATAAGTAAGCCAATCTCTACGTCCGAGACGCACCGGTGGACTGACGAGGATGGGTTCGTTTTTACAGGCCAAAAAAATAAATTTGGCGAAGAGCTTGTCGTGGTAGGCGAAGGCTATTCTTGGTTCCGCCCTAACAACACCTACGGAGACAAATTGCTCCCCCAGCCTCCAATTCGTCTGAAGTCTCATGAACAGTTCGAGAAGGACCGCATCTTCGGATATCCCCCACGCATGGGAGAGCGCAACTTGCCTCAGGATAACAAGATGCCTTTCTTCTTCGAAAACGTGGACGAGGTCAAGGCGACAATCAAGGCTCGGGAGGAGGCCCGCAAGAGAGGAATTGCCGTTGATCGAATGATGCCGGCTGCCTACATCCAAACCTTGATCGCTCAGCACGATGAAACCGCCCCGAAAGACGGTCCAGGTGAAGTGAAAGAGGCCAAAGAGACCAAGGAGCCGACTCGCAAACGGCGCCGCGGCGGCGAAGCCTCAGAAACTACTCAAGTGCCCAAGCGACGCCGGAGGGAGCCAGAGCCGGAACCAACTCCACCCGCTGAGCCGCCCAAGACGCTGCGCATCAAGCTGACCTTGAAAGGAGGAGCGGGTGCAGCGACCAGAAAGCGATCCCATTCTGAGATGGAAGATCAGCCCGCCGAAATGAAGCCTGCCGAGACGAAGCCCGCTGAGGGAAAGAGTCAGCAGGAGCGATCCAGCCCTTCCAAAATCCTGAAGCTCGGTCTGCGTCGCAATTACACTCAAGAGATGATCAGACGCACAACTCCAGAAGATCTTGCGATGGGTCCCCCCGAACCACCCAAAGACATCTATGAGGCTTTTAATGTAGCTCCCCCTTCTGGACCGCCACCCCGCAACTTCAACACAGCTCCTGGAGGACGTCCCCGTCGCCGTGCTGCGGCTGCCCTGATTGCAGAATTTCAGAATCACGCCGAGGAGAGGGCTCGTCGCGCCAACGCACGCAAACGGAACGTTCCATCGGACAAACCTGACGATCCTAATACTAAACCCAATGGCCAGGCGAATGGCCAAACCAACTGAGATAATTCTCATCGTCAGGCTTCACTCGTTCAACTGAAAAACATCGCATGTTCGCGGTCTGCGAGGCACCTCAACTCGCATACCAACCCGCAGATCGCGAATAAATTGGTCATTGAATAATTTAAGGCTCTCATGAAGTGTGGTTGTTTCTCTCGTTTCTCAATGGCCAGTCACTCATCTAACTCATATGATACATCGCATGTTGGCGGTCTGCGTGGCATCTCGACTCGAATATCAGCCCGCAGACCGCCAACAGACTGGTCATCGAGTAGTTCAAGGTTTTCATGAAGATAAAGTGGTTGTTTCTCTCGTTTCTCAATGGCCAGGCACTCGTCTAACTTATATGATACATCGCATGTTCGCGGTCTGCGAGGCACCTCAATTCGCATATCAGCCCGCAGACCGCGAACAGACTGGCCATTGACTGATTGAAAGGCTTTTGGTGAAGTTGAAGTGGTTGTTTTTCTCGTCTCTCGATCAATGTTTGCGGTCTGCGTGGCATCGCAACTTGGGTATCAGCCCGCAGACCGTGAACAGACTGGCCATTGAGTGATTCAAGGCTATGATGAAGTTGAAGTGATTGTTTATCTCGGTTATCAATGGTCAGTCTACACTCGTCCAACTTATAATACATCGCATGTTCGCAGTCTGCGTGGCATCTCAACACGAACCTCAACCCGCAGACCGCGAACAGACTGGCCATTGAGTGATTTAAAGGCTTTGGTGAAGTAAAGTGGTTGTTTTCTCGGTTCTCGATGGTCAGTCTACACTCGTCTATATACGTCGCATGTTCGCGGTCTGCGTGGCATCTCAACTCGAATATCAACCCACACATCCGAACAGATTGACCGTTGAGTGATTCAAGGCTTGATGAAGTTAAAGTGATTGTTCGTCTCGATTTTCTTGTCTTCGAATCTGCGAGGCATACGTCTCATTTCCACATCAGCCCGCAGATTCGTTTTCGATTTACCATTGATTGGGATTCTACGCTTGATGAAGATAAAGTGGCTGTCCAACTTTTCATATTTCTCAATCGGTTCAGGTCTGCGTGGCATCGAACCTGGCATATCAACCCGCACACCCGAACCGATTGACCATGGAGTGTGTTTTGATGCTTAATGAAGTCACAGTGGTTCAAAAATCTCACATCTCTCTCTGTTTGGGTCTGCGTGGCATCTCAACTTGAATATCAACCCGCAGACCCGACCGTTGAGAAGTTACAGTGGCTGTTTACATCTCTCAATTCTCTTACCTTGTCACCGGATCTGCGAGGCAACTCATATCTATCTCAACCCGCAGATCCATTCCCGACTGATCATGTTTCTCTCCCATGGTCGCTCTCTTTATCTTTTTGTCTCTTTTTTCTTTTCCTCTCACTCTCAACACTACGGAGTTAAGGGAATCATTTCGAGCCATTCGTGCATAGCGTTCAGTTTCAAAGGCAGGCGATGAAGTTATTGGCGTTCGTTTAGAATCATGCTTTGCTTGCTTGCTTGTTGCTTTCTTATTTGGCGGTCATTCGAGATCTAGAATGGACCTGGACTGGTTGTATTATCTTGTTTTTCTCTTCTCTTTTTACTTCTATTCTGTACTGTAGGATGAGTTTTAATTCTTCGAACTTGGAAATTGGGTGGAAAGCTACGGCAAATAGCACAGCGGGTTAATTAAATACTACAAATGAAATGAGTACATATCAGCAGATTCGATATAGCTGTTGTAGACCAACATAGAATAAAATGGGTAGATGTGTGATGCCTCAGGCACAAAAGATAATAATCCGAACCTCAACCACCTGACTTTTCCGCCTCCATCCATCATTCATCCAGCCTTCATAACCATTCATTCCTACGGAGTACTTACATTCCCAATAATCAGCCATTCAACCTCACCCAATCACTCAATCAATACTTAATTCCAAATAATAACTCCGGAGTGAACCAAACAAAGAAAAAAAAAGATGTCACCCCCCAAACCAAGAGTGATCATGGACCCTCACCACCGCCAACCACTACCACCCCGTGGACAACAACAACGTCCAGCAGGAGCAGCAGGTATCAAAGATATCCGCCAAACGAAAGAATATAAACTTGCTGCGAGACGGTGAGCCACTAACCCCATCATCCTTTTCTTTCTTTCCCTTCCCTTTTCTTACCAGTAAAGTAATTAACTAACGTGGGATGGGAATGGGTTCATAGATGGATATCAGTAATGGTGGGATTACCCATCTTGATGTATACGTCTTGGAGCTTGTATGAGAGGAGTATGTAAATTCCTTCCTTTTTTTTCTTCTTAGTTATTTTTGATTGTTTTCTGTGTGCATGCTGACTATTTGGTGTGTGCGTGTGTGTAGCCTATGGGGATAAGAGGCCGAAGAGGTTGGTGGAGAGGTCGTCTGCTTCTTCTTCTACTATTACTCCTTCGGGGCTGGGTTCTGGGAAGGGGGAGGGGGAGGGGGAGAAGTAAGTAGGGATTTGATTATAGGATGGGTGGACTTGAGGGTAGGGATGGATGGATGTATTGTATTGTATTTATATGAGGTATGATGAATTGCGGTTGATATTGCATTGGGGAGGAGTGTATAATATTATTTGTTTGAGTTTGTACGCTGTGCGTTGAGTGGATAATTAAGATGGCTAATAGTTGTTTGTGGAATGAGGTAAGAAGGATCTGGATATCTGCCGAAGTAGTCACTATCGATATTTTCGATATATATTTACATGAAGTGATGATATGTAATTTAGTACATACAACCCATCAAGATAGTTAGCTAAGCAAAGCACTCCGCCCAATCACCCCCAGATCTAGCAAAGCTCAACCCCCTCACAAAGCTATCCCGGGTACATCTACCCAAAGCATCAACCGGACACCCATGCAGCGGGACAACGCGATCATTAACCAAAACACGGACCAGCGGCTCCTGCTCTGCCTGACACTGCATCATCTCGACGTACAGACGCGAAGAAAATGGAACCGTCCAAGCAGACGAGAACCCATCTGTCTGGGTGATATTCTCCACGGTCGTGGTAGACAGCGGCTTAGTGCCGTTGTACAGACCCAAAGCAAAGAGAATAGAGATGATGCCGTTATCGTGGGAAAAGTCCGCGTAGAGAGTAGAGTTGAGCGGAAAGGTAGCCGGGCTCGAGTCCAAAGTGTGGTTGGAACTGGTGTCATCGTGGACAGGCGAGTGGGTGAGACGGGCGATGAGCTCGTTAGCGTAGCCGACGCCCTGGGTCGGGCCGAGCGGGTTACCTGCGCCATGACCGTAGTACTTTTTCAGGGACTGGAGGTAGTCGTAGTTGATCCATTCGTCATGGGTGAACAGGTCACAGAAGGGGGACAGCTTGGTGTCGACGGTGCTGGTGGAGATGGTGTCGAAGGAGCACATGTCCATGAGGTAGGTCACTTCTGTGTCTGTGAGAGACACGCCAGACAGGTCGTTCTCCAGACGTTGACGAATGGAGGGGACGAACGTGGCGGTGAAATTGGCTTCGACGGTATCGGCCAATTCGCTGTCTTCGAAGACAGTGCAGGTGCCTGGGTCGAGAGTGTTGTTGGATGAGCTGGCCTCGGAAATGACCACGTCGATCTTGGGCGACGATTGGCTAGGCTGGGCACGAGGATCCTTCAACTTGGTGCTCTGGAAGCCCTCGATGAATTTCTTGCCGGAGGCGATCACGCGGCTGGAGCCAGAGGATCGGATGAATGGAATGATGTTTCTTGTGAGCGATTCGTATCGCTGGTAGAACTTGATGCCGGAGTTGACTAGCTCCTGTTCTCCGAAAGGAGTCAGGTCATCTGCACCCAGGCTGTAGTTGTATGTCTTCAGGAAGGCATATTTTCCATCTAAGGTGGTCGCATTCTGCTGGATCTCCTCAATGAGAGCGGAGTATTTCTTGCCCTTGGAGTCGGTCGGATACCGCGCTCCATGGCGGGAGAGGACCTGAGCGAAAGTGACTCGGCATCCGGCGGGCACATCAGGGGAGATGGCCGATTCGTTTGCCAGAGAGAAGAACGGCGCGTATTGACCCCAAAGATGCGAAGTCTCGGAGAAGCATTGATACCCCTGATCGACCGTATCGCAAGTGGATTGATTTCTCGAGGCGGGGACTGCCAGTCCGGAGGTGACTCTGCACAGATAGTCAGCGATCAGTAGTCCCACACAGTCCGAGCTTCAGGGGCCCTCGGCAGAGAGGGTCCTTATTAGACTTTGATAGTGGTGCTTAGCATACCCAGACAGGAGATACAAAGGAAGTAGAACAGCAGAGACGCCCATGATGCCTATGAGAAGCAATTTCTTGCACAGCAGCGAGTGGCAGCTACGGCCATCGCGCCGGACCGGACGGTCCTCATATAACCCCTTCATCCCACCTTGGCATGGTGTGTGATACTCTACCAGTTCAGGTTAGAAGCTCACAAAGGTGGCCCACGTGCAATGGTGGGATGGATCTTCAGCGGACGAGGCCGAATAGGACGGGAAGTTGACAGGGGACGGAGATATCTAGTGGGAGAAGTGGAGGAGCTTTCTCGAGAGAAAGGCAGCAGATGGTGTTAGTTCCATCTTCATTTATTGCATTCAAGTTGATCGTTGATCCAGCATTGCCGTGGGACGTCTTGATTGGCTGAACCAGGGCACGTGGACGGCGGAAGTTCCCCGTTGGGAAAAGGTGCCTGGATGCCCTAGGCCGCCATCATTTCTCTTAGCAAAGATCTACATGAATGCTTCCACGGCTGAAGATTCTCGGATGCATGTGTCATCAATTTGTTCCTGTTTATGCTATACAATCTATTATGCTGTGCCGAAAGCCCGAAAGGACGTGGGGAAATCATAAGAACAGAACGCCGAATGATAAACATCGCCCTCGCTCATTAAAAGTCAGATAATGGCAGTGTCTATAGCCCAATATGAGAAGCAGAAGCTGAAAATCATTCAAAGCAATTTATTTGCTGACAGTGCTGCATGCAGCAAGGAGTATCTTCAAAAGTCCACCGTGCAGGCCGTTTAACTCATGGCAAAGCGAAGCAGAGAAACCCAACACCACCCAACACTGAGCCAACAATGGAAAATAACAGGAGAGACATAACTGAGTAAATGTGTACGATAAATGTATAAGATAGACAAGTTGCATGATAATACCCGATCATGGAAAGACAAACAAGAGGTAACGACAAAGCCACCTTTCAAAATACCACCCGTCCATACACCTATTTCATATGCTGATCACACGAATCGTGCGCAGAGAGCTTTTCCCAATGCTTAAGATGACTTAGCCTCCGGAGGATACGGAAAGAAAACAAGCCTTTTAGGAACTTTTATGGCTCTCAGTCCCCGATGCGCAAGGGCACGCGGAGGTCGATTACATGACAAAAAAGGAAAATGAGAAATGAAGATATCTCGAGAATGCGTGTCCCGCTGGCATTAGTAGCCCTCCCTGCGAGCAGCCAGAAGTATCGTGGAGTAATCTGATACCCGAGATGTCAAAGCCAGATTAGGCGTCCGATGTTCACGTTTGCTATTCATCTCTTCAAGAGCTTCGCGCCCATTGTCCCGGAAACTGGGGCAGTGATCTTGCTTGCTGGTCGTCGGGCAGCATACCTCGGTCAACGTGGGCTGCCGGATACGAAGTCGGAGTGGCCGACCACGTCACGGGCGGCCTGGTTGACGAACCGGCCATCAGGTGAGATGGCGCTGGGGCCAGCTTCCCACTTCCAGAAGCGTTCTCGACCATCTTTCTGGCCTCCGAGGCATGCCATGTGGCCTCGCGCTCAGAGGCGGTGGACTCGAAAGGCGGTCGTAGGGTTAGCGGGGATGCTGGCCTGGCCGGAAGCTGACCTGTAGGCACCAAGCGGGAGACGTGTTCACGGAAGAAGTCCCTCTCAGAGCGATAGAAATCCCGTTCCTGCATCAGAGATCGGATTTGATCGTCCCGCCTCTTCAACTCTTCAGTCTTCTTCTGGATCTCCTCCAGCTGCCCAGCAATCTTCTGCTCCAGCTGCATCTCGTTTCTCTTCCGATTCCGGAACCGCCTCGATGCATCGCTGTTTGCCTTCCGTTTCTCTGCCTGGCTAGAGGACCCTGATTTCAAATCTAGTATGCAAGGAATCATGCCAGGGTAAGGGGGATTCTCTGGCTGGGCTCCCGCAGCAGCCGCTTCTTCCCCTGTGGACCTTGGTCCTGCCATGACTGAAGGCAAGCGAGCGGCGGGCTCACTGGATCCGTACGCGGATGCATTGAGGAACGAGGGTGTAGTTTGCTGCATTGGCGCAGCAGACACTGCTGGAGAAGTCCGCCCGAGCTGACTGTAAGCAGAAACAGGGGTTGTAGGGCTTGTTTCCTGGGAGCTTGGAGCAGGCGTAGGGTTGGCGCTTGTTCGGCGGCTGTGGAAAGTTGGAGTCGAATGCTTGGAGATTGGAGCCGGTGCAGGATGCGTAGATGTCGAAACCGACTGTCCAGGATATGGATCAACGGATAGGGGAGAGCCAGGAGCTGCTGAATAAGAGGCTAGACGAGATGGATGAGCCAGAGGAGACTGTGAAACACCCAGTCTCTGGGCGTAACCGCCTCCCGTTGAAACAAACCGCGCAGAAGGAGAAGCTGGGGCGATGGCCTGATGATGCTTCATAGCGGGAGACGCAGAGAGGCGTTTTGCTGGGTGAACGGAGGGAGAGGGAAGATGGACTGATGGGGAGGAGGGCAGTCGGGCATGGGATGGTGACGATGAAGTAGTCGGCACCTGGGACCCTAATGGCTCGCGACCGGGTTCTGCCGTAACGACTGCTGCTTTTGAAGGTGGGTTCAAGATCGACTCAACGCCGATGGAACGAAGCTGAGTAGATTTCACGGAAGGTTCCACAGGAGCTGATGGTTGCCAGGAAAGAGGCCGGGGACGCACAGGGTCCGGTCCATCGGAAGATGCAGAGTCATCGTCTGAGCGAGGCCGCTTTCTACCAAACGTACTGTGATCCTCGGCCGGATGTGCATCGCCTGGGGAAGGGCCAGTCAAGGTGGACGACATATGCTCCGATTCTCTTTCGATAGATCGATGGGGCGACCTAGGGCATTGCTGGGCCCCCTCTCTCTCCAGATGAGCTGGAGACTCGTGAAGAGCTGCCTGAGAGAGGGAGCCGGCGGGTTGGGCAAGATGGTAGCCTGACAGCGAATGATATTGTTGCGAGGAATGAACCGGGTGGGAGTATGGAAGACTCGCCAACACACTGATCCCGAGGGTAGCCACGGTGAAAGGAAAATCACGGAACCACAAGAGATAAAAATAAAGGGACAAAAGAGGACCAGGTGGGAGAAACCCGGCTGCTTCAAGGGAAGAAGTGAAACCTCGATATCATACACCCGGTGGTGCTGCTTGTTCCCGACTAGGAGGGTATTGTTGGTTGCAGAAAAGACAGAGGAAGAAAGAATTGAGTACTACACGATAGTGACCAGCAGTATACCGGATGTAGTAGTCGTAGGTAGTATGGCAGATTAACAACCGTGCAGATCGCACCAACAAGAAGTAAGATGGATGTTATCTTTAGATGGAGGTGAAGGGCAGCAGAGGATGAAAGAAATACAAATTATCTATAACGATAAACAAATAAATACGGAGAATGGGAGAGCAAAGAGGAAAAGAAGAAGAGGAGGAAGATGGATAGAATGGAGGGCCAGCAGGGACGGGGAGGTGACAGTTGGAAGAACGGACAAGAAAGGAAGAAGTCAAGCCAGACTGTCCAGGAACGATGATGATTTATGATGAGGATTAGTTATTCTGATTATTTTCTCTAGGCATGGTTTATTATTATTATTGCTCGCGGACAGCTTTCCCGTAGGAGCAGAGACGATCGTAAAGTAACCTCGAACCGTTGTTGACAGCATCATTCGGCGGTGTGAAACGAAACGACAGTGAAAATAAAATAAAATAAAGATGGGGATTAATCGAAAATCAGAATAATAAAAAGAAGAATTAGAATAAAAAAAATAAAATAAAAAAAAAACCCCGGGGTAAGCAGTACCTAGACTAGAAAACTGTTCCTGACAGGTAGGTGTAGGCCATGTGTAACGTGAGACCCACGTGTGACTGTAACAAAGCCAGGTGATCAAAAAAGAAAAAGAAAAACAAAGGAAAATAGCGCCGCGCACTGCACCCAAGAATTAAACTGAACGCCGACTTGCATGTTTACCCCAACTTCTCGTTCTTGGCCAGTCCGAATCATAATCAAAAGTAATATCCATCATATGCATGTCTCATATTCACGTTATTTAGCTTTTCAATAGTTTGCGCTCAGATAGCAGAGTTTCTTCTTTGTTGCAGCATCTGGAGCTGATTCGATAGGTTTCGGACGACCTTGATGACCGGGCGATGATTGGTGGACGCTTCTCGGAATATGTCAGCTAGTGAGGGATCGGGGCTGGAGATGGCGCTTTCCGACTCCGTGGTGATTGGACGAAGGATGGCAGGTAAGTTGACGCCCAAGAGGGAGTCAACGAAGGCGCGCAGACGAGGTGGCTGGTCTGATTTCGGTCCTGGCTCGGGCCCTAGATTATTAGGCCCGGGCGCAGGAGTAGAAGAGCTTGGCTTGGATTGTTTTGATTCGCGGGCTACAATACTCCCGATAGATTCGAGGTGGTCGTCAAGCGTGGCGAGGTCGTTGAAGAGGGAATCGACTTTGGACTGCATGCGCGTGGTGAGCTGGTCGAGGTATTGTTCTCGTCGGGCCATTTGGGTGGCGTGACGCGCGTCCTGACTCAGGGTCTGGATGTTGTCGCCGCTGGCGATCAGACTATCTACCGCTGAGCGGATGTCGGCTCGGAGCGAGTCGAATTTCCCCGCTGCGATGCGGGTGGCTTGAAGACATCCTGTGAATTCGAGGTCTAGTTCGTGTTTACTGCCTGGGTAGGCGTGCTTCAGGTCGGTGTGGATGTCGCGCAGCTTGGATTCGCTTTGTTTTAGTGTGTTGGCGAGAGGGTCTGTTTCGTTAAGGGTCGAATTGAGCAGGGTCTCGAGCCGCGATTGTGAGTTAGTGACGGGGTCCCGGGGGGCTGGTTGGTGGCGGGGGAGTTGTGGCTGGGGATATGGTGGGATGCAACTAGCTGGGTATAGAGTTGCTATTTTGTCCGAGGAACAAAGCGTCTGGTATTGCTGGACTATCTCGGGAAGGACGAGCATGTGAGCAATGGCGGCGATAAGAGCGCAATTGAGTATTGTGCGTAGGAATTTCTCCGCAATCTTCCATGCGCGAGGCTGGGTTGCCTTTGGTTGGCGAGGCCTTTGCGTTGGCGTTGCCGCCGTGACATCTTGTTTGGGCGAAGGAGACTGCTGTTGCCCTTCTTGCGCCGAGTCCTTCGGCGATTTTTGAGGCCTCCGTCTGAGAGAGCGCTTGGTTCGAGCAGTGGGCGCAACCCAAGATCCTTCTGATAGAGGTGCTTCGTATATTGAAGGCATGATCAGCTCTGGTCCCGAGGCGGATGAAGTGGAGGTAGACATGGACTCAGTTCCATAGTTGCGGTTCCTCCTAGCTGGCCAAGGCGTCGGGCTTGAAGCCTCAGATGGCTGACATTCATCTTGTTGCTCATTCTCCTCATGAGGAGAAGCTACAACCCAAGACTCGCCCAGGAATGAGCTGTCCCGGGGGCGAGGATTTTTGATAGACATCAAGATCTGTGGTCACAAAATACAGACCGGCTAATAGTAGCTTTATGGGAGCTTTAGTAGCCTTTGAGTCACTACACGGTGTTGGTGAACTGACGACGCGCACGCGATCCGTTGGAGGCAAGGGTTAATGATATGAGATTCCATATACTATGACAAATAGCTCATGCGCATGTGAGAAACATCGAATATATAGCGATACTAGCAAGGTCAGTCAATGATTTCTTCTACTGTAGCACCGTGCTATCGTAATAGAAAGAGAATGCGACAGGACTGGGTTACTGGTGTGGCTCACGTGAAGCAAGAGTACTTACATAGAGAAGACAGAATAATGGATGAACTAGTATAGCGATAACGGTAAGTGAGCGGCGGTGAACCAGGACGCCGATCCCAAAGTAAAAGAGGCAGATAGCTGGACTAGTTGACGATAGTATATCTAGATCGGTCTTTCAAAACGTCCAGCCACCCGATGAAGTCGGTGGGGGACAATCACGGGAACGCGATTCCCAATCGGGAACTCGCGTTTGCAGTCACGGGCGACCGAGGAAAATCCTCCAGTTTCACCATATGGTCGCTGCCTCTGTCCGCTAAATTCCACCATGCGTCGACTGTCGCCCTTGTTACGGCAGCCTTTGCTTTCTCGAAAACTTCCGGTCAGAGGACGGCTGACCCCTTGGCCATCAGTGAGGGCGCAATGGCTCTCATCGACTTCGTCCCGGCTCTGTTCGTGCTCTGACCCGCAGCCCGGCAGCCAGCCTCAGACTCAGTCTTCCACCCCAGCCGATTATCGCGCCCTGGGAACATCCCAGGACCTTTTCACAACCTCGGTCTACAGTCCCGGATCGCCTCTATTCCTTCCCAATGGCACCCATATCATCAACAAACTCATCACCTTTCTCCGCACGCAGTACCTCCAATACGGTTTCCGCGAAGTCCTGACCCCGACGATCTACAAACGGTCCCTCTGGGAAGTCTCCGGCCATTGGCAGAACTACAAAGATGACATGTACGAGGTGCGCGGTAGGGGGGCCACTGGAGATACGGACGGAGAAGCGGGTGAGGATGAATCCTACGGCCTGAAGCCGATGAACTGCCCCGGCCACTGCCTGCTATTCAAATCGCAGACGCATTCTTACCGGGAACTGCCCATCCGCTACGCCGATTTCAGCCCGCTTCACCGGAATGAGGTTTCGGGCTCGTTAAGCGGGCTTACTCGTGTGCGCCGTTTCCATCAAGATGATGGGCACATCTTCTGTCGGCCACAGCAGATCAAGAGTGAAATAGCATCGGCGCTTGGATTCGTGGACTTGGTCATGACAACATTCGGACTGGGGCCGTATCGCTTAGTCCTTTCCACAAGGCCAGAGAAGGACTTTATCGGTAGTTTGGAGTTGTGGAATAGTGCCGAAGCTCAATTGCGCGAGGCACTCGACAATACGGGCAGGGAATGGGCCATGAATGAAGGTGACGGAGCATTCTACGGCCCCAAAATCGACATTCAGCTCCAAGACAAAGCGGGCAAATACCACCAACTTTCCACCATTCAGCTCGATATGAATCTCCCTCAGCGATTTGGGCTGGAGTACCAGGTCGCTGAAGGTGAGGAGGATTACAACCCGGAGACTCCAGGCAAGGCGACCCCGGTCATGATCCATCGGGCAAACTTCGGCTCTCTGGAGCGGTTTTTGGCGCTGCTTATTGAGGAATACGCTGGTCGCTGGCCGTTCTGGCTTTCTCCACGCCAGGGTATCGTCCTAACCGTGAACCAAGATGAGGCCGTCGTACAACAGGCTCACGAAGCGGCTGCCAAGATCTCTGGATTCCGCGCCCTTCAGCCAGGCCAGATGGGGACCGATGCACCCCAGCCTATCTCCTCGGTTGACTCCACATTCTTGATCGATGTGGACAGCAGTAGCCAATCGCTGAACAAGAAGATCCAACGAGCCAAGCAGATGAAATACAACCTCATCTTCATCCTGGGTCCCAAGGATGTTGCTGCCTCTCGCATCACGGTGGACGTGACAGGTCAGCTGCAGAGCAAGCCTGAGCGTGGGGTGCAGAAGCTGCAAGACATCCTGACCCAACGATTGGGCGAGAAGGCGTTGAAGAACCCTCGGGCCATTCCCCTTCCCGTAAATGACGTGCACGAACTGCTGGTGCAGCTGGAGAAGCAATTTGTATAATACTATAACAATGACGTGTAGATATAAACCATGTATAATAGAAACCATTCAGTTTGCACGCAAGGTGTCTGTTGGTGCTGGCCGGGAGAGGATCGCCTCTCACGCGGTCTCTGTATACTTGAGTATGGGTGCCACGTGACTGTTCGATTAAGCTTAAATTGCATGCCTGATCCATCTACCGCTGCCTGAATTCGATGGCCGCAAAGGGTTAGAGCCCCCGGTGTGCGGCCTCCTGATTGGCTGTGTTGCAGTCGCACTCGCCCGAGATATCGTCATGCCGGTTTGCGTTCCAATCTTTCCCAATTGCTCCGGCGCCGCCTCTCCCGCTACAAGATCGGCCCATCGGAGTGCCCGTCGACTGCTACAATGATCCGCGAGGACGTGAATGATTACAGTCGAGATGACTGGAGTGATCTCCTATCAACATACTCTCTGAATGTTTTGTCGCCAAAAGAATCCATCGATAAGGCTTTACACGAGTTCTAAGCTTTTCTCAACGGCCCACCTCTGATCTGATCATCATCGCGCCGCTCTTCTGCCCCCCCCCCCACGACCCAGGGAAAGGTTCAAGTCTTTTGGCTGGAATTAAGGTGCGCCCCTAAGCTTGTGGTGGCCATCGTCGTCTCACTTTTCTGGTTCCCTTTGACCCCCACTCGCCCTCCCTCTCGTCCCTTTCCCTTTCTCCTCTCGCCCCCTCTCTCCCCCTCTTCCTTTCCCTTTCGCGTGATCGTGATTTTTTCTCCCTTCTCTTCCATGGAGGCTGCTGCGACGTCTGTCCCGTCCCCCACGGCCATCCTGGATTGTCCAATTCCATGGTCGTAGAATCCAAGCAGTCGGGCATGGCCGACGTGCCTACAAAGTCCAACCTTCCCCGGAAAAGCGCCTTTTCCTGCGAGGCTTGTCGCAAGCGAAAGGTGGGTTCCTTCGTCCCCCTTACGTTCCTGACTCGGATGACTTCCGAGATTAATATGTCGAATCATCATCTTCGCTTCGCTGGCAGTGCTGACTGGGCCGGCTAGGTGAAATGCAACGGAGCCAGTCCGTCATGTTCGCGATGTGCGACACGCGGCGAGGTGTGCGTCTATAGTCTGTGAGTGTGGCTTATTTTTCCTTTTGTTCACCCTCGCTTCTTGGGACTTTTGCTTCCCACCCCCACCAGCCCGACCCGCTTTGTATTGCCCTATCGGCAAAATTGTCGATCACTATTGACTCTTTCTTTGCTAGAGCTCCAACCTTATCTTATACGAAGCAGCTGGAAGCTCGCGTCGCCCAGCTGGAAGATGCTCTTTCCAAGCTCCGAAGCCAACAACCCCCGGAACCCGTGTCGCGGAAGGGCGCCTCCCCTGCATCGCCCGGCGAGTCTAGCGCCAGCCCGGGTATCCGAACCCGCATCAAAGAAGAAGATGAAAATGAAGAAGAGCTCGCCAGAGACTTCGAGGGTCTCAAGGTCGAACACGATGGTCGAATATCGTTCCACGGCCCGACCAGCTTATTCCAACTACCAAGTGGCGTCTTGAACGAAACTTCCTCGACGTCCCGTCTGGCTATGCAACTGGAAGGACGGAAAGAACGGCTTATCAACAATGCATGGCGAGAACGGGCCTTTGAGCAGATGGCCACCATGCCCGTAAGTCTAGTCCAGCCAAGCTACCAGACATGGAGCTTAAGGATCAATGTTAATCTCATCGCGGTGACAGGAACCATTTCAGTATCTCCTCGATTCACACTGGTGTTGGATACAACCGCTCTTTGGCTTCGTTTATCGACCTACATTCACTCGTTAGTTGCCCTTCCGTTAGCAGATGCTGGCGATGTTCTAACATCTTGTAGGTGATATGAAAGTCAACGGTCCCTATTACACCGACGCCCTGTTAAACGCCCTCCTTTCCCACTCAGTACGATGGTGCAAATTGGAGCCAAAAATTGGGCCAATCCTGGACTCATTCGAAGGAGGAGCGCAGTTCTTCCATCGCGCTGTATCAGGTCTTCATGATTCGCTCAAAGCTGGCTATGTCGGCATTCCAACAATTCAGACCTTACTTCTCCTGAGTGCGCAGGAGTTCGGGCGAGGCAACCGAAGTCAGGCGTGGTTATACAGTGGAATGGCTTTCAGGATCCTGGACGACCTTGGTATAAACATCGACAGTCGCAAGTACTCTGATAGCGCTCACCTGACCGATGAGGATATCGAGCTCAGAAACCGTCTCTTCTGGAGCTGTTATTTCTGGGATAAATTGATTTCATTGTACTTCGGCCGTGCCCCAACCATGCAACACTCCCGGGTCAGCCCTCCCCGGATGATTTTGGATGACACGGCCGAGGTCGAGCTTTGGACGCCTCATGGCGTCGAATTCCCTGATGGCACTCACTATCCGCCCACCCAGGCTCACTCTACTTCGTGCTTCATGAAGATGTGCGGCCTGGCAGAAATCCTTAACCAAATATTAATCCATATCTATGATCCTCTCCGACAGGTTTCGGAAGTAGAATATTATAACTGCATCCAGGAACAAGCCGCTAATCTGGCTGACTGGTGGGAGGAGCTTCCCGATTATTTGAAGCTACTGCCCATGGACCTTCCTCCATATTCCCCGCCAAGTCATATTGTGACCCTGAAGTACGTACCCTTTTCCTGCCTGTTTTGTCGCCATCCCCGACCATTCTAACGCTGTTGCAGCTGTCTTTACCATACCATCAACATCCTCCTCCACCGTCCCGTCCTTTGCTCCAAATCAAACCGTGAATCTAACGACAAGAGTCATCTGATTCAATGTATGACGTCCGCAACTACGATTCTGACCCTGTTCGATCTGTACCGTCGTACTTTTGGTGACAGTCATGTCGTCCTGTCTCTCTCCTACAGTGTATACACTGCAGCATCCATTTTCTTGCTCGAAATCCAAGCTCTGAAGTATGCTGCGCCCGGGACCCTCGACAAGTTGAAGTACTGTATCTATGCATTGGAGCGAGTAAAGGGGACAAGTCCTGGTACGTTTGCCTATGATAAAAGTACGAACTGCCGCTAATGAGTACAACAGTGATCAGCACAGCCCTAAGTCTCATCTACCAGGAGCTACAAAAGCTTCAAATCGACATTCAAATTGTCCTACCAACGGCCCAAACTCAACAGCCTCAACAACAAACTGAAACCCAGACTCAACCACAACTTCATCAGCGACCTCGAACCCATCATAGCCATTCTCCCTCCCAACACCAGACACCACCTCCCTCGAGCATCTCCAGTACTTCTCAACGCGTCTCCCCTGTACAGCAGCAACCACCCCAAGCTGACCATCCTATCACCTCCATGCACACTGCTGGCGTGACCTCCGCACCCTCAATGTTACCAGGCTATAATTACCAAACGCCCGTTGCCGACTTCGAGCTGTCGCAGACCAACATGCCACAAGTGACTGCTACACATTTGATAGGCGGTATGCCGAACGCCATGCTGACACTGGACAACCCTGGTGCATATGAGATTACGCCTGAAGTGTTTGAAGCGTTCTCCTATGCGGAGCCTATAACGACGAACATGGCACCTACAGTTGATTATGGGTGGGATAGACATACTTGATACCAGGAGTAAGATGTAGCTGCAGGCTACGAGGGAACGATGCTTCACTGAAAGTGAGTTGGCTTTATAGTAGTTCGATACATTAATCAGACATCTGTACTTGTCACCTGTATGTAATTCTATCGAGATTTTTGAATGTGTAGAATTACAATTGAACAGTTGAACAATCATATAAGTGTATAATAAGCTATCTAGAGTGGCATGAAGGGTAATAACGCTGCATGCTTTTATATCTTGTGTATGTCCTCCGTCCCAAACCAACCAGCCCCAGTTTCCATCCGAAAGTAATTATGCAACATCGTCCCCATCAGAAATGCAGATATGGGAACTCCACGAGTGTAAGAATATATAGGTAAAAGGTAGTGTAAAAGTGAGGTATCAAAAATGTCGGGTATATATTGAAAATAGAAAATGTTCTTGAGATGTAATGTGCATGAAATGTCTACAGAGGCACACTTTTGCTGTCCACTTGCTTGGCATCGACACTGCCCTCACCGGCAGTGGAGGCCGAAGACGACGCGACATCCTTCGGCTTCGCACGCCAGCGAAGGTACCAAGGGCAATCGAAGAGATCGCCCATGCGCTCCATGGGAACACCTTTGGTCTCGGGCATCCAAATACCGAGGATAATGATGCCCAGAAAGCAGATGATGGCCCAGAATAGGTACGCACCCCAGACGTTAAGGGAAACGAACATGTTGGGTGTGACCCGAACGACAGCGAATTGGAAGAACCAATGCAAAGTCATGCTGAGAGCGTAGCTCACGTTGCGGATGCGAGTGGGGAAGATTTCTGTACCATACAGGTACGGGATGGTGCAGAGACCGATGGACCAGCCAACGGCGTAGACGAAGACGGATGCAATGGCGGCATTGGAAGCGTTCTCGTTTTTAGCGGCGCCCGGTTGCAGACCCATGTAAGCGCCCATGTAGATGTGAGCAGCCAGCTGGAGACTAAGTCCGGTCAACGCGCAGCGACGTCGGCCCAGGAGATCAATGAAGACCCAAGTAAACGCCAGTGTGAAGACGACCTTGACAATGCCATATGCACCTGAGGAGATGAGAGATTCGGCGTTTCCAGTGATGCCAGCATACTGGAAGATATTAGAGATGTAGTAAGTGATACCGTTTCCTCCGGTCCACTGGGCGATAGTTTGCATGGTCATGAGGAGCCAGAACCGCTGGCGATAATTAGGGTTTAACTGGGACTCCTTGAAAGCTTGCCAGTGACTGACAGACGCCAAGTCTGCTGCCTTGGCGCGCACTTGAGCTTCGATTGTACTAAATTCTTCATCAACCTCGGGATCGGAAATGTCTTTCCCACGGAACCGAGCTAGTACATCTCGCGCCTCCTCGGGCCGCTGCTTGGACACCAGATAACGAGGTGTCTCAGGTACAATGAAGGAAGCAAAGAAGGCTAGGCCCGTAGGGATTAGTGGAATCGACTGGACCAGGCGATATTGTTCCCGGGTAGGGGCCATATGCAGGTCAGCCCCATAGTTGACAAAGAACCCTGTCGGTGACATGTCAGATAACGCCACATGTGAAACTAGCGGTTAACGAGAGCGTTAGCTTACCCACAGTGAGGATGGTGAGCAAGACCACCATATAAACGCTGACTACCAAGCCTCTAGTCCTTGCCGGCGCTATCGTCGATATTAGCACTTTTACAGTCCATGTACATCAATCTCCGAGATTATTTACCGATCTCTGACAGGTACAAAGGCGTAGTCACTGTTAAGGCACCGGCGCCCAGACCACTCCAAATTCTAGCAAACAGTAATAGACCATAGATGCCGGAGGAGAAGACTTGGATGAAAAGGCCCGATCCCCAGACCAGAACAGACAGTTGCCATGTCCGTACTCGACCCAAGCGATCGTTCAGGTCCAGCGAGAACAACGCACCAAATGCAGCACCCAACACATTGAAGGAGGTTATGTTCGCCTTGCGGTTGGCCAGGCCAGTGGCATCGTTAGTCCAGTTAGAGGACAGGAGGTTGAAGTCGACCATGAACGACTCGAGCTTGACGCTGGCACTGTAGCCACCCTCATCGTAACCTGCAGTCCCATCCCACCAGTCAGAATGCGATCTCTGTAATGAAACACCACAGCGTGAAGATGACGTTACCTTTAGGAATGCTGCCACAGGCTATAATAAAGATCACTAAGGCATAATAGGGATTTGTGGTCCACCGAGACCAGTCAATCGCCTTCCATCCCATGATGGCGAAGCGGGAGGAACCGCGATGGAGCTGGAATCAGCTATTTTGGGGGATATTAGCCGACGAGATAATAGATGTGTATTAAGCACTATGGAGTGAATCTGGGGAAGCTCCAGTTTGAACCGATTGCTGCCTTGTTGGGTACGTATCCGAAGGGGCCGGGGGGAGAATGATTAGGAGGCAAGCCACACGATACGAGTCAGGCCAGACGAGTGGACGGAGAACAAGCGAGGCGAGCAACAAAACTCGGAAAGGAGAGAATATCCACTCGGAAGGAGGAGGGCCGAGAGGGGGTAAACTGGGAAGGAGCGAGGGGGGAATGGGAAGCACGGGATCCAGAGGGGCGTGACTCGCCTCTCGGTCAACTTCCGTAATTCTCTTTTCTCTCTCTCTCACCCTCTCCTTTTTTACTTTGGTACACACGCTAATGCATCACTAGACACCGTTCTGGAATAGAACGCCATTTATTCTTGGTATGCACCTATTTCCCGTTTCTGATATTAAGCTATCTAGTTAACTACAATTCCGATGCTGACTTCTTCTAGTGACGTCTATATCTAGATCTAACTTAACTATAATTCTTCTAATTCTCAATAGCACTATGCGTGCACACTTCGCCTGCATGTCAGATCGGGCGGGTCGTTCCGCCTGCATCCACTCGGGCCATTACCGTTGCCTGTGAACAACTCCGCTCCCCGTGGCTCTGCAGTTCGCTTAGATACACGTCCGATCTTGCTCGGTTCAAGTAGTCAAACGTTTTCAGTTGTCATTGGTTGCCGATCAGGCAAAAAGCAAGTGGACATATCCAATGTCGCTCACGTGGAGTGGCTCCCTTGCGGCCACATTCCGACCTCATCATACCGGTTTTCGTAGTACTTCAGCGACACCATCCCGCCTTTCGCTGGTGACTGGTGGGTCAGGGACTGTTTCATTCCTCACGTTCACTGGCATCCGTCCGGTAACACAATCGGGAAGCCGATGAGCTGCCGGAATGCCTTTATCCACAGTTTTGACTAGACGGGTCGTCCTTGGCTTTGCACCTAGCCTAATAGAGAGCATGATATCGTTGCAGAAATGTTCCTTAAGAGTAGCTGTGGGAACACTCCGGCTCAGCTGTCTTGTGAGTTTGTCACACTTGTGTTGGACATCTACACCTACTGCTATCCTCCTGCCATCACTCCTACCGATACCCAACCTCTTCACCTCGCCCTTGATGACGTCTTGACCATGCTCTCGTCCTCCATGCCCACAATGCTTACCACGTTCCAGCCCAGGACTGGCCTGCTTGAATCTCCGAGGGCCCTATTTAGCACTGCACATCTGAAGGAGGAGCGACAAATATGCAAGGAGGGAACGGCAACCCTCCAGCCTATCCCACTGAAGTATCGGGTTCCCCGAGGGACGTGGGATACACACATGCACGTTGTGGAACCAGAGCGCTTTCCAGTTTCCGCGAATGCAGTCTATCAGCCCCCCGAACATACCGTTGACGATGCGATAAGTTTCGAATCTACCCTTGGCATCGAAAAAATTGTACTGGTTCAACCATCCATCTACGGAACCGACAACTCTTGTCTACTTGAAGCGCTCAAAACCCTCGGACCTTCTCGCGGGCGAGGAGTTGTGGTGGTTGATCCGACCAACATAGACACCGAGACCCTGGAGGAATGGCATTCGCTGGGAGTACGCGGCGTGCGAGTGAATCTCAAATCAGTGGGCAAGGTGCTCAGCGAGCATGAGCTGACCGAGACGCTGCTGCAACATGCGCAAATAGTACGGCCCTTCGGATGGACTATCCAAGTCTACGTATCATTAGATATGGTTCCCCTGCTGGAGAAAGTTGTCCCACAGCTCGGAGTCAAGCTGTGTATTGACCACTTTGGAGGGCCAGATTTGGCCGCAGTTGAACACAACGGGGAATCGTTTAACCCCTATACGCTCCCGGGATTTTCCTCTTTAATCTCGCTTCTGCGAGGCGGAGAGACCTACGTGAAGATCTCTGCCCCGTACCGTCTCAGCAAAGACGAGGAGTATCGAGACCTGGAAGCGATGGCCAGGGAGTTCCTTGAAGCCGCTCCGGACCGTGTGATATATGCCACCGACTGGCCACACACGCGGTTCTCCGGCGTGGACATCGAACCCTTCACCGAGACATGTCTACGGATATGTGCGAAGGAGCCTGGATTGGCGGAGCGGGTGTTTCGAGATAACGCGGAAGAGATGTTGAGGGGGGTATAGTTCATTTTCTGATTTGATAGCGTCCAGCCAGCCTCCATTCGCCCCCCTATTACGAGTTACGACATCGCATAGCATACCATACCAAGAAATGTCATTCAGAATTTTCCAGCCATCAGGAAGCGGCCCTGCAGATCGTGAAACGAGTGAGCTGTCCAATTCGGCCAGGTTCCGAGGTGTATAACTCGAGTGCCTCATGTAATCGGATTTACGGTAGAATTTGCCGAGACGTCGGCAACAGTGGAGACCGGCAAAGTGCACGGAAAGCGAGTCAGGAAGACCTTTGCCTTTAAATAAATAGGATCCCCAGATTATAGAGGTCATAATGTAAGACCTACTGGAGAAGCATGATAGAAAACCGTAACATCCTCCCCCGTAAAAAGTACCCGGGGAAGGAAAGGACCCGGAGTTCAGGAATAATCCCAATGGTGCACGGATAGTACATTAGCCTCGGACAGAATCCGAAATGTACGCCAACAAACACCAACACATACCTGTACGAACTACGTAGCTAGCTAACCCAGGGTGATAACTACCAAGTATGGTTCGTTTGACGGGGGATTTATACTTTTCCTCGGAAAAGTGCAAATTTTTTCCTTTTCCACACTTATTACCCATCTACCTTGACTTCTTGGCTGTTCTTATCAGATCCGATAATAGGCGAGCGAGGCGAGCGAGGTTCATCCGCGGGTACCGAGCCCTAGTTGGTTTACATAAGGAAGCGAGAAGAAGGGTTCAACTTCTCGTTTTTCCCCCGGAGGATGAATCTGGGTTGGATCCACATGCAGGCCGTTCGGGAGGTTCTAGAATGTCGGGGAATGAGTCTGGATCTATCATCTATTCTTGGAGAGGGAATTATTAGCGATGGATCGATACGATGTGCTATTATAGACTGTAGTAGCCTACTACTAGTAATTAGAAATTGTTGTGTCTGGGGTAGATATACAAAGGTGGATATGTATGTAGCGGTTGACTCGTTCTTTGTTTAGGGTAGTGCTGTATGACTCGTGCAGGGTCTGTGCACTTGCATGGGAGGATTCGTGGATGCAGGATGCATGCTGTGTGTATGAGGTGTACGGTTTGCTTGCTTGTATGCCATTGGGTTTTTGTGTGTGAGAGGAGAATACGAGCTGCGTGCTGCAAGTAGGTGTTTCTCGTGACTTGGTAAGCTTAGGGGATAGTTGGACCCTTGAAGTGGGGTAGTAGGTTGGTAGGGCATACATGGTGTTGATTTAGTCCATATTGATTACTTTTATTCCATAATAGTTGTTGTGGAATATTCATTCAGAATGTAGTATTGTAGAGAAATAGGAGCATGGTAGATTGGAATAAGTCATGTGTCCGATGTAATCCCATACTATGCTTAATGAATTTATTCATCCTTATCGCTAAGTGGAAAGCGACTATTAAGAAAGAAGTTATCGATCAGATCATCGAGGTAGTAGTTTCTAATGGAGACGCTATTGATCGATACATCATTGCCTGGAAGTCCAGCATCCGAGGTATACAAGCCGGAAGCATACCATCTTCCCCCCTGACTAATGCATACATTTTTCCAATTCACACTTACCATTTGATCAAATTATTCTCTTATGCTCCATGTTACATTACTATCAATTAAATCATAATGAACAATGAAGTCAAAGCAAACACACTAACCCAACAACCTGTTCCACTCCCTACGTCATCGGGATGTCACCACCACCACAACATCAACTATAAACACCATCACAACCACCACAGCTCATAACTCACATAAACCCCAATTACCAACTACACCACATCCTAACATACACCACACCACACTACATCAAACATCCAAAGAAACTAAACAAAATGCCCTCCAAAAAAGTCCTCATAATCCTCAGCGACGCGACCTCCTTCCCCCTGCACAACACCTCAACCGGCACCCAAGAACAACCCACCGGCTTCTTCCTCCCGGAACTCGCCAAACCACTCTCGAAACTCCTCTCAGCAGGCCACGAAGTAACCTTCGCCTCACCCAAGGGCCTCACCCCACAACCCGATCCGAACAGCGAATCCCTCCTCACCTTCGCCGGCAACTTCTACGAGCGCCAGCGGGAACAAGAGCTCATCGAGCGCATGCGACGCGAAAACGGCTTCTCATCACCCCGCCCCTTCGCCAGCATCTCCGACGAGGAACTGAAGACCTTCGCGGCGGTGTTCATCCCCGGGGGGCATGCGCCGCTGGTGGATCTCGGTGGGGATGAGGAGTTAGGACGGATATTACGGTATTTTCATCAGGAGAATAAGCCCACAGCGGCGATTTGTCATGGCCCGTTGGCGTTGTTGAGTACGAGGAAGGTTGGTGATGGGGAGTTTGTGTATAAGGGGTATGAGATTACGTGTTGGAGTGATGCGGAGGAGAAGGTTATGGAGACGTTGTTGAGGGGGGAGATTGATAAGGTGGAGAGTCAGTTGAGGGATGCCGGGGCTGTGATGGTTGAGGGGGGAAGGGAGAAGTTGGGCAAGACGACGCTTTGTAGGGAGTTGTTGACGGGGGGGAATCCGTTGGCGGCGGAGGAGTTGGGGGAGAGGTTTGTTAGGATGGTTAGTGTTTAACCACTTTCTTCTTTTATATTTGGAGGGCTTGTGGGTGGGTGAGGAGGTGTAGTGTACAATAATTGGATATTTTATTTTGTTGTATATGGGTTATATGTTGAACAGTATTCAGTTTCCACCTTTTTTCCTTTCCAATGATCTACAGTAAGTAGTAAGTAGTAGTTGATTCAATCATCATCCGTGTTCTGCTCTGCTTCTGCTGTGCAGATGAACTCGGGACCCTGCATTCATCACCATCATTAGCATCTACCCCTATCATAACCCTCACAACCATCTTAAAGATATTGACAGCACTCACAATAGTATAACAACACTTGACAGTCCCACCCTGAGGACACTGATCCACCCACTCATATCCGTCCATCGCCTGGCCTGCAGGAAAACACACAATTATTAGCATCCACCCACTGTATCACAAGCTATGCTGCATCTGAACATACAATTCTCCCCCTGCTGAGCAATCGAATCTCCCGGCGTAGGAGAGAAACTATCACAGCAGTACGGGCTCTGGATCATGCCCGTGCCGTCCTGCGCCATGAGACAATAGTAGTCGCTGCCGGCGGCGACGAGGGTCGTCGATGCGGCGAGTGTGAAGAGGATGGATTTGAGATGCATTTTTATGAATTCTTCTTCTTTATTCAAAAATCAAGTTGATAATGAAAGATGAAGATGATGGATGGTGGAATTCTGCTTGTCAGTGAGGTGATCCGGTAGGGTATTTATTTGAAATGAATATACCCCGGAAATAAGGATTGTCTCGTGTAGTAGGGATAGATGGGATTTGCAAGGTACGTGCGTAGTATGTACCAAGACGCGTGTCCTGTCCTTGTTTGATCCCTTGCGTTGTGGGTTCGAGGCATGGCGGCTGGTTGGCACATGGTATGTATGTATGTACTTTGTCATTGTGTTATGTAGCAGATTGATTTGAGGTGGGTGAATTTGAGATCAATGTGTGGAGTGGAACTGTAATTTGTTGATTTGATGGCTTGTTGTTGATTATGCGGCGATTTCTTCCTCTGCAGAGGATTGGACAGTATCTTTTTTGGTGGCGCGGCTTGAATGTTCACTGCCTTGCTGGGAAGTAGTATCCCTTATCCCTTGATCCCCTGCCACTGGCTTTTCCTGTCCTGTCCCGTCCTGTCCCGTCCCTGGCTAGTGGCTACGTGCTTATGTATGCTGCAACAGAGTTTATGCTTATTGAGAGATGTCAATCATCTGGATTAGCTGTAAGGGCACGATGTAAGCGATCTGTCTGAGACACTAATTAACTACTTTTTACCCCCTCTCATCACAACTCCAGTTCAACGTGTTGACTACTTCAATTTCAAGTTCACAGGAGCATCAAGTGCAAAGCCCTTGAACGTCCGCGCTGACTTCCCCAGCAAGGTACATTTCTCCACCTTGGGGACGGCCTTCTGTCCGAATGTACCCTTAACGTGCAACTCCCCGTTGCTGTACGTGAACTCGAGCTCTGTCACAGATGACGGGTTCAAAGAGTCCCCATCATCCAAATACAGACTGCCCGAGGCGTTGCCATCCAAGTCTGGCGCGATGATCAGTTCGAACCCCTGCTTGCGAACTTCAGTGGTCGTCATGCCGCTGGACATCCTGACAGGGATGATGTTTCCACCGCGAATGTGCAGAGGGATGTGGGTGATGTTGATGTTGCTGAGCGTGATGTTTTCTCCGTGTCCGCGCACCACTGCTCCTGTGTACCAGTCGTAGAAGATGTCATCCGGGAAGTATGCGTCGACTGAGGTGGATCCCTCATTCAGGACAGGGCTGACCAGAAGGGCGTCACCGTAGAAGAACTGTCGGTCGTTCGCAAAGGTGTTCGAATCCTCAGGGTACAGGTAGAATTGAGGCTGCAAGAATGGCTCGCCGGTCTGGCTTTGCCGGTGAAGAGCAGTGTAAATGTAATCGAGGAGCCTGTACCGGATGTCAATGGCCTTGCGGGCGGACTCGGCTACCGAGGGCCAGCGGTAGAACTCTTGCGGTATATCGCCTAGCTCGTTGTGATTGCGGTAGAACGTATAGAAGGCACCAAGTGACGCCCATCGGCCACACAGTTCCTCCGTTGTGTTGCTACCAAACCCGCACACGTCAGCTCCAACCATTGGGATCTGGAACATCGATGCGAAGGAGAGGATCTGCGCGATGGAGATCCGGTAGTGGACCCAGTCGCTAAGGTTGTCGCCCAACCTGTACAAATCAGCGATGCACTAGCAAAACCCATGGTAGACCTACCAGTGTCCTACGTGCGCTCCAGCACCCGCAAACGTACTGCGAGTGATGACCAAAGGCCTCACATCGGGACGGCGAGCCTGCATAGCCGTGCGGGAAGCAGAGCTCATCACTGAAACTGTCAATGGCGGATCATACATACAAATATTCGAAGACTTACTTGTTCCGTAAAGATTGTGCGTATCGTACTCGGCATACCCCTCACCTGCATGAATGAGATCCGTCTCGATAGTGCTCATACTGAGTACGCCTGCGGCATTCCGGATTGTGTAGGGCGGGTCAGTGAGGTTGCGGTTGGGCAAACCGACCTTCTTCCCTTTATCGCCTTGCGCTCTCTTGACAGATCGCTTGGACGAAGGTTGGAAGTCCGCCGGGAATCCAGGTAGTGGAATCGGGCTGCTTGGCCGCACAGGCGGCGCTGCTGGTGGGAGGTCGTCGGAAATTGCAAATGCCGCTGGGTCAAGACAAGGATACGGGCAGAAGTTGGACGCTTCATTCATGTCAATCCACAGGGCGTCAATATCGACTCCTGATTTAGGATCAAAGAACTGCTGGAATTGCGCAGTCCAGTAATTCTGAGTGTCCTCATTGAACCAGTCTGGGAAGACCGTCACACCAGGCCAAACAGCACCTGTAAAGCTTAGTTGATGCTGCTAGGTATGGAATATGTGCATGCTTACCCTCATACAGACTACCGTTCTGATTGTGAAGGAAAACATTGTCTCTTACACCGGTGAGATACGCCGAGTTATCTAAAGAGCACATGTTAGCCGGAAGCGGCAAGGATAGGTGGGTATATTCCAATTACTCACTGCTCACGCTCACAGCCGGATCGACCATGACAATGTAATGCTGATCGTGATTGTGGAGGTAGGTTACCAGTCCCCGCATCTTTTCGAGCGGGAATCTCTGAGGATCCAGGGTAAACACCCTCCTCTTGTCCATGTAGTCGATATCTGTCCACATCGTCTCCAGAGGGATCTTTGCCTGGCTATAGTTGTAGACCACTTCGGCGAGTTCATAGACATCGCGGTATCCATAACGGCATTGGTGGAACTGAAGAGTCAGCATACAGTTCGGACTATAGAATCAGGAAGAGAGAAGCGTACACCGAAAGTCCAGTAACTTTGCATTGCCGGGAGACCGACAATCTTCGAGTACTCCATGCTCGCTTGCTTAGGATCTTCTCCATAGAAGAAGTAAAAGTCCAGAACACCACCGAGAAGGTTGTATTCCAAGTACTGCTTCCCATCTGTGGTCTGGTTGATCTTGATGTCCATACCATTAGAGTTCAGCAGGAAGACTCCATGGGTTCCGGACTTTCCACGGTGATCATAGTACACAGGATGACTGCCGTACAAGTTGGTGTTGTTCGGAGTGCCATACGCGTCGCGGTTCCACAAGGTCCGCGTGTAGTTGTACGTTGGCAAACGCATAGGGTCAGAGTGCTCTCCGAGACCATACACATACGGGTCATCGGGCAGCCAGGTGCGAAGCCTGACATATTGCGACTGAAAAATCAGTGTGGATGCCGAAGAGTCAAACAGGACCTCATCTCCTTTGGAGATAGTGAACGAAAACGGTTCTTCCACATAGTCGAATTCCAAAACACTGTCCTCAGAGTCCTTGTCACTGCCCACGCGAGGAAGGACCGATTCAGGAACTTGATAGACTTCTTCGTCGGCATCATAGATCATAACATGTAGCCGTTCATCTGAGCAATCTGTTAGTTGGACATACACCCTTGAATCACAAGAAACACTCACCAGTCTGATACTCCACAAGCAACTTGAGGTCCTCCAAGTCCTTGCCATAGCTATTACAAGGCGCACCAGCTAGAGTCAGATCCGCAGTCAAAGTCCTAGCAGACTTTTGCACATTGGACGCCTTATACCCGGGGCAACTCTGACTGCCTGCCCTGGGAACAATGACAGCAGCGCCCACAAGGGGTAAGAGAAAAAGCAAAGACCCCAACATTGTGATGTTGGCTCTAGGATTACCCCGGACTACAACAAGCCTTGAGTTCGTATCCAAACCGGGAGGTCACAGCGGCTTATATGTGTTTGGGCACGGACTGATGACATTAAATGCATGGCGCGTTGGCCAAAGTGCATAATGTGGCGTTGCGCGGTATGACCGGACCCCGCAGATTCAATCAGCGAAGCCAAGGAATGTAACTGACAAAGAGACGGAATGAGCCGAGCATGGCAATGAGAAAAAGCAATATTCATAGGGGAGAAGAGCCGAGCAACGTGGAGACGATTGCCTAAAGAAGAAGACAATGTGAGTCTATGGTCGTCCCATCTCGGTCAAATATCGGGGATCTTCGCCGCTATCGGCTTGGGGCTGATGCAGGGACTGAATAATTTCGGGTCACTTACACCGATTCTCTTCCATTGAATCTCGTGCAGCAGCCTAGACTTTGGACACGTCTGATCGGTATATCACTCGGTAATGCTTTGGATGGTGGGCCTGATTTTCTGCAGGTAAGCATGGTAGGGAATAGTAGTATGGAGATGGAACCGAGGAAGTGACGGTGATGGTGGCTCTCCTCATTCTCCCCCACCACGTGCCCCGCTTGACGCCCCGCAAACAAACAAACTGAGACATTCAAAGGATCAGGATCAGATATCGTTCAAAGAACATGGGCAAAAGTGAATATTTCTGCTTACTACCAAGCCCACCAAGAGTTAGACAAAGCGTCGGATGCAACGGATTCGGTCGCCTGATACGTAGTTGTAGCTGATAGGTGGCTCTGACCTGTCAAGAGGCGGTCGCTAATGTAAGTGCTGCAAGCCTTTACAATTGAGGTGGCAGTGGCATAAGATATTGAGCACATAGTACTATTGTGGCATTCGAGGGGCAGCTCGCCCATCCAGCATGTCGGGTACCCTGGCAGAAGCTTGAGGACCTGGGGAGTGCGCAAATGAATGTAAGACAGTGTTCAGTCAACCTACAGTCCTGGGTTACTCTCCCGCTTCATTCTGTGCGGACGCCTGTCATTGCGAGGAGACAGCTACTATACCTGCAACACATGTCAAATGCAGATGTCGTGAAAGTTGAACATGAAGGAATAGAATTCTACGTGCATCTCTATGCCTCCAGCCAGCAGGGATCTCTAACAACATCGAAAAAGGAAAACGTTACATGGGATAAACCATCCATCAAGTGTCATCAAAAATATTTGTCATGAATGCGAAAGGTATCCGAGGTGACCAGTCACCAAAAATGTGCAGTTGAAGTATGTTCTCAAGTGTGCGACTGTTTAGATCTTCTGACCAGCGGAAGCAGCCTTAACATCGTCTTCGGAGCTCATGATTTGAACCTTGATGGCACCTGTCTTGGGGTTGGCAGCCGTCTCGAAGGCCTTGATCGCATCCTCCAAGAGGAAGCGGTGCGTCACAAGCTTCTTCAAGTCGATAACACCGTTCCTC